GCGCTCAAAAACAATTTGTGAAGTCATTCAACCTACCGTGACCCTCCACCTCCCATCTTCCCCCTACTCCCCCTACTCCCAATCCCACCCCCCGAAATCACACATAAGTAACACGGACCAAGCGTTAGTTCCGATGGTAGGATCAGCCATATCCGGTTTTGTGAATCTGAGACATAAAATAACAACAACAAAAATCCCCATTTGAATAACCATTATTTTGTTCCCTCTTTTCCACACAAAATGATGTTATGTGAAATGAGGCGTATCAGCCAGTTGACGAGTCACCAAAAATAAGCTAAAGTAAGCTAAATAAGCTAAACTGCATTATACTTCATTCCTGGAAGTGATCAGTAGTTTCGCGATTGTCTCTTCATCAGTGATAGCCAGCCGAATATTCTGTTTGTTTATCTGTAGTTACAATAGATAATCCTGTGTCGCGAGTAAAATACTCACAAATACGAGTAGTACCTCACAAATACTTCTAGTCCCCGCCTAATATTATAATCTTTGGCATATTGGTCAACCCTCTCGAAAAAGAATGGCCCTGATGTTTTATATGAAGTTCAGACGTTTCGAAACAAAAAAACTAACCATGATTTTGAACAATTGTTTTAACCATGAATTGATTACTGACCGATTGTGAAACGAGTTAAATTCATTACCGGTCAGAGTTACCATTCGAGGGAACGAATATGCGATTCTTGATCTGATTCACCCATCACTATTATAATCCCTCTTCGAAATTGGGCCCCAAACCATGGCGGGATTCATATAGTTTATTCAGGAATTGAGGCAGAGCATACCAGTAAGAATTTTGGGACTAGAACTGATCAAATCTCAAGATTGTAGAACTGCACATCGCCGAAAATCTCTGGAGCAAGCCGGAATTAAGTAGTTCATCAGTTGAGCCACCAAGTAAACCTAAAAGATAGCACTTGGAATGGTGTGAGGGACATTTTTCACTCCCATGAAACGTTAGTTTGACTGAACAATAATTGAAATCTATTTAACATTTTCCGTACAACAACCAGCTGTGTCATTGTTCCCATATCAAATTTTTATTAGTCTTTATGGCTTGGTGGCGAGGACATTGCTAGAAAACAGGGTGTGTTAATAGCAGGTCACAAACTACGTTACATGAAACTAATTGAATTCACCAATTGTGCCGTGAGCTATGTTCACACAAAAGCCTCGAATACAGAAACCCACACACCTTATTCCTCTCCCCGTAATCAGGATGAGGTAGCAACACCAGTGAAAAGCCATTTGTGTTTCAACGACACTATATGATTTACGTTAGCCTTAAAAATCTATCTCAACCGGATGCTTTCGTTTCAAAATGGAACCGCTTAGAAATGAGAAAAGTACGCGCACATGACGTGAATGATTAGGCAGACAACGGTGAAAAATGGAGCGTATCAATTAATCACGTAACCAACGTTCACCTTCTTGTGGAGTTGAAATTTGTTTAAAAAGAAACCTACGCAAAATTGACAAAGTGATTGATTGCGCTGGGGAAGTGTTTTCTTTTGGAACGGAAAACATCCCCAGGTTGCATGTGGGTTACTCAAAGAACCCAATATCACCAGGTTTTATGCATGATTGGTTACGGGATAAGCAGGGATAAGCAGGATAATAATTTGGTCAATGCAAACGCAGTCCAACACCAAATTCGCACTAACCATCAGTGCAATAGAGAGAAATTCTGGCAATTGTTCACGCCCCTATGAGCAAACTCTTATCGTTTGATCGATTCTGAAGTACTTGAATATTGGTGAAGCTGAAATTTGTTGTGTGAAATACATCAAACTGAAATTTGTGTTTTGATGAATTTGAAATCAGTTTTCATCGTATCGCTTTAATTCTTGAAACAAATGTATTCTTTGGTTAGTTCTTTAGTTCTTTGCATTCCCTCGATTGCTTTTTGCCCAACACAATGAGATCACCAAACGTCTCTATTGAAATGCTCTCTTCAATTAAGGCATGCTTAGGACGATTGGAGATGCCCAAAATCTCCATACATTTTATGTTGCCTTGAGTTGGATGTGACGGAATCTGATTTCCGATGGCTAACAGATAGCACTGGACGGTTATCTCTTCTTTGTTAGTGCACATCAGCAGTGCACGTGTCCCTTCCGGACCTTGAACCAAAAACCTTCTTGAAGTGAGTTAAATCTCTTATCTCTTATCCTTATTGCCGGTGTATTGCTTTAAT